GAAAAAAGTCAGAATTCTGACTTTTTTCCCATACTATACTAAAAAAAAAAAAAAAAAATCAGTTAACTTCTTTTTTTTTTCCAGTGGCCCTAATCCTCTTCCGTAGAAATTTGCTCCATTACTCTAAAAGACTTTTTAAACAAAAAAGGATTTAAAAGTAACTTTGCTGTGCTTTTTCAAATTGTATTTTTCATATAAGTTTTTTTCCAATTGTACCTTTAAAAAAAGTTTCATATAATTATATAACATTTTATTTCTACTTTTTTTCCGTTTTTTTTTTTTTTTTACAACTTTTAAGATTTAAACTTGTTTTAAAATATCTTTGTAGGATTGTTTTTTTTTTCAAAATGCATTGTTTTCAAATTGCATTATCCTGATCACATTCTCTTCACTTCTGATGGGAGGCTTTTCTTTGGAGTGAGGAGCAAAGACCCATTTCTATCGGTCTGCATGGATGAAAGCGAAAACATCACATCACTCTGACCGATTCCAGAAATATGCCGCTAAAATTTGGGTCCAGTATTTTAGACTGATATTGCTTTCTCTTCCTCCATTTACATGATATATAAAAATACACAACAATAACACATTTTCCAAAAGTCTAAACTTAAATAAGAAGAAACATCTAGTAACAAATCAAAGAGAACATTAACAGTGGACAGTAATTGGAGAGGACAGTAATGCATGCGCTTCATGTGAGCTAAAGGTATGGTTGCTGAATGCACTAATGAATAAGTGAATTCATGCATGTATCAGGAAAAAAACTAATATAGGCCCACTGCATGCATGGAGTGAGGGTACTTATAGCAACGTAAGCTAAAGAAACATCTACTATAAACCTCAAAATACAGAGCAATCGTTTTACTTTGTATTAGTCAAAACATTAGAAAAGCACTCAGAGTGCAGACCTCTGCCAAGCAGCACATTTTGCCCCAAAATTGGACTTATAGCTAAAACTTGCATATAATCTGGATCATTAACACATTTAAATGAAATTTTCATTGCAATGAGGTGCACCTCTAGAAAAAAAAAAAATATATATATATATTTTTTGCTCATAAAAATCTGCTGATAAGTTTTCAACGTTCCCTTTTCTTGTGTTGTTGCGTTCAGTAAAATACCTCTGGACTTTTTGAGTCTGATGCTGAGGCTGTCAATACTCACTGCTGCCACCGTCTGGTTTAGTGGGGAACTGCTTGTTCCGCCAAACATCCCTATCTCACGCTGTTAGAGAATCTTTAAAAATAATTCCTGTATCTATATTATGACCTGGATCATCACCAAAATTTTATGGATTTTTCCTTGTACTGAGGGACACCTCTGATATAAATCTCATTAAAATCCATCCAAAACTTTTCAGGTTATTCTGTACACAGGCAGACAGATGGACAGACAGACAAACGTAACCTCCATAACCTCCTTGGCAGAGGTAATAATCATGGATTGTAGAAAAAAGATTTTTGCTTTAGTGCACAAGAGAGAATATTAGGCAGTATTAGGCATATTGGAAGTCTATCTGAGGTTAGAGACAGAGTACGGGTGTGATCATTTAACTGAAGCCTTATTTTTCAAGCCATTTGCAAAGAGGCCAACTGTCTAAAACACGAACCACCTAACAAAACAAAAAACCCTTTATGTTGATAAATCTAAACACCATGTTTATGAGAGCTTTCATAGCAGACGGAAAACAAGGAGGAAGGAAGACATTTAGTGGAATGATTCTAGTCTCCATACGCCCTGTCTCTGACTGGTGTCTGAACATTCACTGGCAAAAGCCTGGAGGGCAACATTGTAGAAGAGGGAAATTAATAACTTTCTGGATTACGTCATAAGTGAGTCAACAATGATTCAAAAAGAAACTCACCTTGCTTAAACCCTAGACTTTTATGTCATTACATATATTTATAAACAGAACTTTGATTTTTTTATTTTTTTTTGGTGCTAGGTCTATACAGAAAAATTAATAATAGTCAAGTAGGGAAAATGACATAAAGAAAGCAGCAAGAAGTCCTGTTTGGAGTCTGCCTCAAAAAATGTAGAGGATGCAGAAAGACAAGGAGGAGACGGCTAAGATTAGGTCAAACGTCAATAATATCTATAGCTTAAGTGTAGGGCTGAAACTATTAATTAAATAAATCAATTTTTTAATAATTGTCAACTAATTTGCAATATATACAATACACACGTGCATATATATGTGTGTGTGTTTCTATTTGTATTCCTTTATGTTTTTCCATTCAGGATTAGAAATGCACTAAAAACCAAAAAACTAAAAATGCATTAAAGATATTTTTACATATTGTAAAAGTTTATTTATTTA